AGCGGCTGCCGGAGCACGTGCAGGTGGATGACCCCGCTGCCCAGAGGAAACTGGCCAAGAAGCTGGAGCGGCAGCAGGTAGGAGGAAGGCTGGATGACAGGCTGCATGCCTGGGGCAGCCGTGCCATGGGAGCTGGGGGGGCACGTGGTGGGACTGCGACCTGCTCTCTGAGGGCAGAGGGGATCTCGGCATGCCTTGAGCAAGTGCTGGGTGTGACTGGTGGCCCTGGAGTGAGCAGGGCTCTCTGGCGACCCTGGCTGAGCCATCACACTGGGCTGCAGGTACCTCTGAGGCAGGACTATGGCACCAAAGTCAACCTGTTCTCCCACCTGCACCAGTACAGCAGGAAGAAGCCGTTGACACAGCAGATGAGGTATGAGGCCTCCCCAGCCCAGGCCCCTGGCAATGTTGGGCTCTGCTGTTACTGGCCTATTGGCCTGGCTGCAGAGAGATGGGGTGTCTTGGTCCTGCATGTGGGATAGGCCTGATGGGGTGGTGGGGGACCCTTTCACTTGCTTTGGGGAGCGGTGGCAGGGGCAGCCTGACGTCCTCCCTGTTCAGTGACTTCGGCCACAGGAGAAGGGGCTGCGGGGTGAACCTGGCTCCTCAGGTCACTGCCAGCTCCCTTCCTGGGCTGTCCCTCGGGTGGTTGGGCTGGGGCCCAGCAATGGGTTGGTTGTTTTGGGCTGCAGAGGTGCAGACAGCTCCCTCCCACTGGTCCCTGCAGCATCCCCTCCACGGTGATCCACCCAGCAGTGGTGCGCCTTGGCCTCCAGTACTCCCAGGGCATCATCAACGGCTCCAATGCCCGTTGCATCGCGCTGCTGGAAGTCTTCAAACAGGTATGTGAGCAGATACCTGGCGGCAGGGGTGTTGCAGCAGGCACAGGTGTGTGTTCCTGTTCCCTGACTGCTGAGGCTGTATTTATACTCAGTCATCATCAGCCTCTTCCTCTGGGTTGTGGACCCTGCTGGGGTCCTGTTCTGGCACTGGCACTGCAGATTTGAGTTGCTAGGACACCCTTTGCCCCACAGTGGCAGTGTCAGGCTGTGCAGGACGCACACGTGCTTGGGCTGCAGCCCCTTGGACAGGGTGGTCGCTTGCCCTACCCTGAGGTGCCCTGAGCTCATGCTCCCTTCCTTCTTGTGCCAGCTGATCCGGGATTACTCCACTCCCCCCAACGAGGAGCTGTCTCGGGACTTGGTGGCGAAGCTGAAGCCACATATCAGGTGAGGGCTCCAGGTGCCAAAGCTCCACGGAGCATGGTCCATCAGTCACCTCTCTGGAAAGGTGTCCACTCAAACTTCAGGTGACTTCCCTGCAGTTCTGCCTCCCTGCCCACCCTTCCTGGCCCTGTCCTGGCCCTCCGGGCTGCTCTGTAACTAAACCAGTTTCCTCTGCAGTTTCCTGAACCAGTGCCGGCCGCTCTCGGCCAGCATGGGCAACGCCATCAAGTTCCTCAAGAAGGAGATCTCGTGCCTGCCTGACACCCTGCGAGAGGAGGAGGTGAGTGGCCCTGCTGAGCAGCAGGCTCTAGGCCCGGGGTGGAGAGGCTGAATGGGGAGTGGGGTGGCATGCAGACTGAGAGCAAGGGTGGGATGCAGACTGGGAGCAAGGGTGGGATGCAGACTGAGAGCAAGGGTGGGATGCAGACTGGGAGCAAGGGTGGGATGCAG